TCTCTCTTTAGGGTTCTGTAGTTTTCATTGTATAAATCTTTCACCTCTTTTGTTAGGTTGATTCCCAAGTATTTTTTTTTTTAGGATATTGTGAATGGGGTGGTTGTCCTCATTTCCATTTCAGAAGATTTGTCGCAGATATACAGGAATGCCTTTGATTTATGTGTGTTGATTTTATATCCTACCACTTTGCTGAATTCATTTACTAGCTCTAGTAGTTTCTTTGTAGAGCCTTTTGGGTCTTCTAGGTATAGGATCATGTTATCCGCAAATAGTGCCAATTTAAGTTCTTCTTTTCCTATCTTTATGCCTTTAATTTTTTCGTCTAATTGCTCTGGCCAGTGTTTCGAGAACTATGTTGAATAGAAGTGGTGAGAGAGGGCATCCTTGTCTTGTTCCAGATTTTAGAGGGAATGCCTTCAATTTTTCTCCATTTAGAATGATGCTAGCCTGAGGCTTAGCATATATAGCTTTTATAATGTTGAGGTAAGTTCCTGTTATATACATACCACAGTTTATTTACCAATTCATCTATTAAAGAACATCTAGGTTAGTTCCACAATTTAGCTATTGTGAATTATGATGCTATAAACATTAATGTGGCTGCTTCACTGTAGTATGCTGCTTTAAGTCCTTTGGGTATAGACTGAGGAGTGGGATAGCTGGGTCAAATGGTGGTTCCATTCCAACTTTTCTGAGGGATCTCCATACTGTTTTCCAGATTGATTGCACCAATTTGCAGTCCCACCAGCAATTTATAAGTGTACCTTTTCCCCCATATCCTTGCCAATACTTATTGTTGCTTGTATTCTTAATAGCTGCCATTCTAACTGGAGTGAGATGTAATCTTGGAGTGGTTTTGATTGGCATTTCTCTAATTGCTAGAGATGTTGAACAATTTTTTATACATTTGTTGATCAATTGTATATCTTCTTCTGAGAAGTGACTGTTCAGTTCCTTAGTCCATTTATTGATTGGGTTATTTGTGGTTTTGGTGTTAAATTTTTTGAGTTTTTTAATATATCCTGGAGATTAATGCTCTATCTGATGTATGTGTGTGGTAAAAAATTGCTTCCATTCGTTAGGCTCTCTACTCACCTCACTGATTGTTTATTTTGCTGAGAAGAAGATTTACAGTTTGAATCCATCCCATTTATTGATTCTTGATTTTATTTCCTGCGCTATAGGAGTCTTGTTAAGGAAGCCGGGGCCTAATCTGACATGATGAGGATTTGGGTCTACTTTTTCTTCTATTAGATGCAGGGTCTCTTGTCTAATAGATGTTACTGATAAATACTTCCTAAGCACCAGGCACTTTTTAAAAGTATTTTACAGGAATAATCTCAATGATGTCACAAACAGTCATGCATAAATATTATTTCTATTCCCATTTTTAGCTAAATCACAAAGAATCAAGCATCTTCCTCCAAAGGGCCACAGTAGCTGAGTGGTAGAACCAGCCCTTAGACTCAAAATGTATGACTGGAGAGCATGCTGTCAACCCCTATGCTCTTGTACAGATAGATCAGCTCTTAAAAGTCCTGATAATATTTTGACCTGATGTAATAAAAAAAAAAAATTCAGATAGTCAGGGCTGGGGTTGTAGCTCAGTAGTGAAGCATGTGCCTAGCACACGTGAGGCACAGGGTTCAATTCTCAGAACCACATAAAAATAAAGAAATAAAATAAAGGTATTATGTCCATCTACAACTAAAAAATTTTTTTACAAAAAGAATGGGGGGAATCTAACACATTGTTTCTCATTTTAGTTATTTTGGAAACTTGCCGATACAATATTTCCATTTACCACCTAAACATCTGAAATTACCAAAAAGAAAATGATTTGGACTGTACACCTCCTGTACATCATTAGCAGAAGAGAATTTTGTTTTCATGCAGTTTACACAGAAACTACACAAAAATGCACCAGATGCACAGGAGGACATTCCTGGTCCTGTCCGAGATACTACATATTGGCTAAAAGGATTCTAGTGCTGGAAAGACTTCTATGTTCCTGCGAACAGAAACAGGCACACTGCTCTGGATGACAAATTAGAACTGAGTCTTACATAAATAGAACTTTAAGGGTACTATAATGTCTTAAGCCAACTTAAGTTGTTCTGGTTCCATTATACACACGTTGAGGTTCACCATCAATAGCAGACAAGCCAAAGATAATTGCTGCCCACAGGGCTGTGCCAGCTGCCCCAGTGAACACGCTGCCTGTTCTGGAGCAGCCACTTAGGGTCTGCATGCAGATTGACTGCATAGTTTGTCTCTTCCTTTATGGAAATGTGGTTTATCTGCATCACTAAACTTTTCTCTTTTTCTGGAAATGAATTCAGAGTTAAAAAGTGTAGAAAATACTCTGGTTTCAGTGGAATTCATGATGGTAGGTGTTATGGTCTGAATGTGTCCACCCAAAATGATGTGGGGACTTTGGGGTAATTAAATCTGAGGGTGAAACCCTCAGGAATGGAAAATAATTAATAGTCTTATAAAAGAAACCAGAAGGAAGCCTGTCTGCCCTTCTAAAAGCTGGTAAAGATGCAGCAAGATGGCACCTTCTATGAAGCAGAGTGCAGTCATTACCAGATGCTACATCTGTGGGCACCTATCTTGGAATTCCCAGTTTCCTGAACTGTGAGTGATAGATTCTTATTGTTTATAAGTGACCAAGTCTAGGATATTTTTGTTAGAGCAGCCTGAATAGACTAGGATAGTGGGTTTGGGTTATGTGGGCAACAAGGACAGAGGTGTAGGATCATCTCTAACCAATATGTTCTATTTTATCAAATGGCAAACGGTCTGTAGCAATTGGTCAACATTAAGAGGATTTCTGTCATCAGCTGAGCTCTATGCCTCACCCTATCCTCTTATAGCTGAGAGGGAATCATATTCTAGTTAAATTTATACAGTGAGCCAAGGGCACAAATAATGTACATGGGAAATTTTTTCACTCAACAAAACCACATGGCATTTCTCAATGTTATATTAGATATTTTTTTTTGTCTTAAAACCCAAGTGCTAAGCTCTTTTTGGTTAAATAAATTTGTGAACCATAAATACCTCATGGATTATGGAGGAGTGTTAGATATATTCTTTAGTGTAGCACCAACCTTTCTTTCACTCATTCCCTGGTCATGGACATTGGCTCCTAGCTGGTGCCAGGATGGATGACAGGCTGAGAGCCCATAATGGCAGGACCATGTGCCGAGCATAACCATGGAGGAGACCTCAGAGAAGAAGAGAGGCAGCAGTGCTTTGAGGAGTTGTTCAGAGAAGGCTGGAAGCAGGTAAGCAAAAAGGGCCGCTGCATTTCCCCAGCAGAACCAAACCCAAGAATGGTTGCAATGCTGGCTTGATCCAGTTAGATACCTACTTTCTTTCCTAGAAAGTATTCCATCAAGTTCTGTGAGATTATAATGGGTGTGCAGTCTCTGTGTGCCATTGACCATAGATTATTTTAAACAAGGGTTCCATGTCAAACTCCGTATGGAGGCAGGATCAGAAAAGTGGACTTTCCAGGGTTGCCATGATCTGAAACACACTATACTAAGGATGCATTTGAAGTGATGTCCTGAACAGTAGCACAGCTTGTGCACTGAACCATCCTGAGGCATACGGTTCCTAACAGGCATCTTAGAAATGTATATTCCTCATGCCAGCAAATGGTAAAAAAGAGTCAGGTAGTTGGAAATAAAGTATCTTGAGGATGAATTTTCTTTTCCTGATTCAGAAGTATCTTACAAGCTACTGGCTGCTCTGGTTTTTGTTTATCCCAAGTTCATTAGCCTTGTCTCTGCCATATAAAAATAAGGAAGCCTCTGCTGGTTGTCTGTTCTGTCATTAGTACATTGGCCCCATAGACCATCCCCATGACAAACAACAGCCATCCTGGGGGATCAGAGCAGGAGGGGAGACAGGGGATGGGGACAAGATGACTTCCCCTCCTCCCCTATGGGGAGGACACCGAGGGCCCAGGCCCCCTCTGCCTGAACCTGCAGGGCCACTTCCTGTGAGCTCATCTCCTCTCCTGTCTCTAGCAGCTGAGCAGGCAGATCCTCTCCAGGTGGACACACAGAGCCGGACTCATGGGGCCTCAGAATAGGACCTTTCTCTTCCTCTCTTCCGTTATTTCTGCCTGACAGCCTGGCAGATCATCTGGTTAAAGCAGATACTGCAACAGCTACTGCTGAGCAAAGTGAATGCACACGATTATTAGGGAAAATGAATTTTTGGAATAACCAGTTGCTGTCCCGGATCCCTGACTTCACTGAGATTCATATGATACGGCAAACACCGAAGGTACTGGCTCAGGTACACCAGACCAGTCGTTTTTTTTTTTTTTTTCTGCTCTGAGAGTCTCTTCCCAAGAAAGAGTGAGAGCTGGCAAGTGCACAGGGAATTTCATTTTAAGGAATGATGGGGGAGGGGAGTGGGTTAATTAAAAGAAAAAAATCTTTTAATATAAAGAAATCCAACAAACCAGAGATTATTTATGTTTGCAAATAGTATAAATTGTTGTTGTTGTTGTTGTTGTTTGAAGACAGAGGCAAGTTACAAATAATAGAGTCAGCCCTGCCCTGGGAAATCTGAAAAGTTCTTCAGAGACAGTAACTGCAGTCACCTTCCTACCTTGTAGTCGTTATTCATGATCTCCGTGAGCCAGGTCTTGACCGACTTCATCGTGTCCTGTCGCAAGTACTTTTCAACATCAGCTCCATCACTGAAGGTCTGGTTTCCCACGTGGATGGCTCGTCTCACTTCTGAGAGTGACAGAAACTTCCCATAGTAAGTTTGATCCCCAGGTTCCTGGCAGAGGGTGCATCAGAAAGATATTAAGAAACAGCATGCCGGGGAAAGCTGTGGGTTTTTCATAGCACAGAATACAGTAAGTAAGAGAGGACAGGTCTCTTAACGTGGCCCCACTCTGGAAATTTTTAAAAAGAAGTTTGTGAGGTGGTTTAAATGAAATCCTCGTATTAAGGACAAATCAGGATGATCTGACACTCTTGGAACCAATATCCAATTCGCAAGTGTGGGATTTTCCTTTTCAGAAACTAATCTTTTGCAACCTATGACTCCACTTAGAGGAAGAGACAGGGAGGGCAAAGGGTAGGGGTGAGATGGTCCATATCAACTGCTCCTTGTTGGTGGCTCCATGGAAAGAAGGTGAAGTAGCTCTTGGAGGCCAGAGGGGTAGTAGATTAAAAGCTAAGGATTTCTTCTCTATGGTCTGCTGTTTATTAAAGCCACACAAACAATAACAGCTGAGTACAGGGGGAAATACATCAGGTATAAAAACAGATATTTTATGAGGAAGATAAAAGAAAAGTAGTTCATGAGTCTTATTTTAAAAAAATTCGAACACAACACTGCATAAAAGCCTCTGTAATAATAATTATACTGAAAAGGAAAAAAAAAGAATAAGGGCTTTAAAAATACTTCAAGTTACAAAAGGATAAAAATTTGGGGGTTTGAGTGTGCCAATTTTCTGCTTTGTTAGCAATTTTTGTTAACTGTGAATATATTATGTTGTGGAGAAAAATGCAAATCACAAATATTGTTTCTCTCTTCCCCGCCATATGTTTTATTCATGGTCTAATCGAAACCCAAAACCATTGGTTAGACAAATTCCACTGAAATTGACTTTATAATTAATAGTTCACAAAATGTGATCATTTTAAAAACAGAACACATTGTCAGACAAAGATTATACAAATCCCAACCCCCATTTGGCTCCCTTTCTCTTACTTGGCTAATTCTACACAAAAGACATGACTCTGGCCTACTTTTAAGAAAGAAACTACTTTGGTACTTTAAGAAATATTCTACAGGACTTGAAGTAGGGCTGAACTGAATGCACTAAACACCTCAAGTTAAAACGAAGACAAAGCAAATATTTTCATACAGGCTTTGGTAGCTTTGATTATCCAAGCCATCTTAAGTACAGAACAAAGAATGTGGGCATTTTCAAGAGGTTCATAAACAGGTTTGAAACTCTGAAACCTCACACCCAGAGCTGCAATCCCAGCTTCCACCCTTTCCACAAGCTCTTCTGCAAAACAAGCTCTGGAGGGGAAACCGCCCCATCAGGAATTGTTCTGTGTGATATGGGATATCACACATTATGGATGGTCAGATTATAACACATATAACATTGGTGGGAAACAGACTGCAATCAGTTTAGGAGACCAACTCAGGCACTCCACTTTGGATATCTCTGTCTAGTAGAAAGCCAGCTACCCTATTTTCCAAATCAGAGGAGGTTTGGTTTTGCCAAAAGTTTTAAGCAGACGTGACTACGGTTTGAAAAAATGTTATTACCGTGCACTGTAAAATGTTGTAGTAGTTAGAACATCCCGTCACATTCTCGAAGTAAGAAATATCACTCGTCAAGTCGCCATCCAGTAGTCTATCCAGGATCTGGGTTGAGAAGCGGGAAGGAGAGAAGGAAACATCTGGGTGGATGAACATGCATAAGTGTTTGTCATTCAGCTTCTCATTTCCTTTTCTGTTTCATTCCTTGAGCATTTACTACACATCTTCTCTGTGCAAAAAGCTGTCCTAGGCATTGGGAAAACTTCAGTGAACAAGACAGATCAAGCTGATATTCAAGGGGAAAACAAAATCCCCAGCATTTTTAGGTGAAATATGCAGTATGTTAGAGTGTACAAACTCTATACGTTAGGGAATGACAAGGAGAGGTGTCATGGGTATGTGCACACGTCTGTAGGGGACCCTAAAGAGAGGGCATCTCTTAGAAGATGGCACTTGATTTAAGATCTATTGGAAGGAAGAAAGCTATACAGACAACTTGGGGAAAACACATTCTAGACAGAGAAAGGAGCAAGTTCAGAGGCCTCAATTATAGGAATGAATCTTGTGGGAAGGGATGCCTTAAGATGGATCGTGGACCACTCGCCACAGTACTAGGAGAGAGGACAGAGGGTGTGGGCATACATGCAGGTGCCTGGAACTGATAGAAGTAACCTTTGGATGGCTGACATTAAAAACTTGGTCATCAGAGGAGGGCAAGAGCAGTCAGTACGGCTGGGTGCTTTTCTCCAGCCAGGTGCAGCTGCCTGGAACAGGCCTGGGGTGCAGGGAGGTGGATTCAGTCAAGGCTGTGGTTTAGCCAGAGGAGCAGGAGAAAGTGCTAAAGGGGTTCAGGAGTCAGGAAGGTCTAGACCTTGGTATTAAGTTTGGTAATTAGAGAAATGAGGACCAGAGAGGGTTAGTTAGATCATGAAGAGCTAGATGGGTCAGTGGATTTAGAGACCATGGGGCTGTAGGACTCCTAGCACTGGCATGTCAGCACAAGTGAGCTGGAAGGGTAGGAGGTGGCAGTTGGAGAAAGCTGTTTAAATTTGAGATTGTGAGAATTCAAAAAACTTAACAACAACAAAAAAAACCAAACAACCCAATCAGCAAATGGGCCAAGGAACTGAACAGGCAGGCACTTCCCAGAAGATGAAGTACGAATGGTCAACAAATATATGAAATATGTTCAACCTCTCTAGTTATTAGGGAAATGCAAATTAAAATATACTAAGACTTCATCTCACTCCAGTCAGAATGGCAATTATCGAAAATCCAAGTAACAATAAATGTTGGCAAGGACGAGGGGGAAAAAGGCACATTCATACATTGCCAGTGGGACTGCAAATTGATGCAACCACTCTGGAAAGCAGTATGGAGATTGCTCAGAAAACTTGGAATGGAACCACTATTTGACCCAGCTATCCCACTCCTCAGCATATACCCAAAGAACTTCAAATCAGCATACAGCCATATCAATGTTTATAACAGCTCAATTTACGATAGCAAAGCTATGGAACCAACGTAGGTGCCCTTCAACAGATGAATGGATAAAGAAAATGTGATTATATATATACAATGGAATATTATTCAACCTTAAAGAAGAATGAAATTATGGCATTTGCTGGTAAATGGATGGAGCTGGAGAATATAATGCTAAGTGAAATAAGCCAATCCCCAAAACTCCAAAGGCTAAATGTTCTCTCTGATATGCAGATGCTAAAACACAATAAGGGGAGGGGAGAGAGAATAGAAATTCATTGTATTAGACAAAAGGGAATGAAGAGAATGGAGGGGATGGTGTGAATAGGAAAGACAGTAGAATAAATCGTAGGTAACTTTCCTATATTCATGTATGAATACACAACCAGTGAAACTCCACATCATGTTCCCACCACAAGAATGGGAAGTTATATTCCATGTGTGTATAGTATTCAAAATACACTCTACTATCACGTACGCATCTAAAGAGAGCAAATAAAAAATTTTTAATTGAGATTGTAGAATGCCTAATGGCTTTTGGTAACAAGGAATGAGCAGCTGAGTAGAATGTGATTGTAGCAAAAGAGGAGGCCAAGGGACTGAGGGATAGAGTATTGAAAGGATCATCAATGCAAACACCATGGTCACCAGGAGTCCTAATGAGAGAGTCGCATGTTCCTTGTCTCTGAATACACAGCATACCTGAACTTCCCCCAGGTTCTCTAGCCCTCTGGGTGTCTGAGCCTGTTGGGCCTCAGTCATCTCCCTGCTTTCTTCACATCTTTAGGCCTCTCAAATGTTCTTGCTCTTGACACTGCTGTGTGCTTTCAAATCACTAAATGTCTCATGGGAAAACTGGCCTTATGCCAAAAAAAATTAGTATTAATTCTAAATTCTAAAGGTTCCTTTTTGTCCTGTTCAACTACCAACAGTGGAGGGCCTAAAACCAATCTTGAAAATATTGTCACGGTGGGTTGGGGCATGATCCTACACATCTCCAAGAGAATCCCTCTTCCTTCGCATTCCTTCCTATGACACAAAAAATCCTGAATCCACACTCTGCAGCCACATTTGGTCACAGAAGAGGAAGTCCATAAGCATGGCGCTGGATGGCTATGACTTCTCTATCTCAATCTGTTTGCACAGGTTGCCGCCATCAGAATCCATAGCAAGAATGGCCACTGCCTTGGGTGACTTCGGGTAAGTGTCCTAAAGTTTGAATGTCTCCCATTTTGATCTGAACAGGCTGATCTGGAATGTCCAGTAGACTATTAATATCAGGCTTCTGCCCTAATAAACCATAATGAGTCCTAAAGTCCTCAAAATTCAGTCCTTACCTCATCAAACCAATATGTCAATCAGGATGCCTCTATAGAAAACATGACCAAAAACCCCAGGAGAATTGTTTACACACAGCCTTTGTCTGCAATTGTCCCAAACACCTAACTTCCTATATTGTAGTTTAATGTACTCTTATGTTTTAAATACCAAGAAAAGGCTGAAGAATATAAGCATATTATCAGATTCTCAAGTTTGCTTTTAGAGGAGCAACATCATCATAACTACAAATACCAATGGCTCTTTGCAACAGTCTTAGATCACTACACTTCACAATCTCTTGTTCCCGACACATGGGAACATGTGCTGTTTGTCAAGCACTGTGGTCACTTCTCCAGCTGAAACCCTGTCTGTGGACATAAGCCTTCTAAATGGTTTTGCACACATGTTGAAGTTTATGCATTTACTTCCGAGGTTGCCTTTCTTCTGATTTCCATATGATAGGAGAGGCCTTTAAGTCCCACACAGCATTTAAAGAAATCAGAACACTTAATGAACACACAGCTAGACAAACACTCCAAGATGACCTCAGGCTTAATACAGCCAAAGTAAATTCAAAGAAACACAGACAGTTCGTTTCTGCACGCCGTGCCCACTCATCTCTCCAAGCAGATATTCCTTCTCTCATAAAAAAATGCCTGAGCACCATGGGGCTTCACTGACCCCTCCTCTCCTCAGATGGTTTTAATTGCTTGAGGGCAGCACAGGGCCCCAGAACTCACTTCAAAGGCCCGTAGCCAGTTCTCCTCCTTGATGTATTTTATACACTTATTGCACTGCTTCTGGAAGTACTTTCTCTGCCTCTCATCCAACAAGCCAATTTCGTAGAGGAATGGCGCGTAGCCCTTTATAATCTGAGGACAAAAGAGACACACATAAGTGCCAGACACTGAGAAGGAGAGAAGGCAGGAAGCCCATTTGCTTTGTGAAGTCACACTTCATAACTTTCAGTCTGGTGCTAGAAATAGCCAGATAGGACAACTCTACACACACGCCCCTACAAAATACACACGTGCACACGTGCAACACACACACACACCCTACAAACACACAAAACCCACCCAACACAAACACACAACATACACAACACATACTCCACAAACATACACAACACATACTCCACAAACACACAAAACCCACCCAACACAAACACACAAAATACACAACACACATAACAAACACACAGCACAACACACATAGTACAACACAGTCGGTGTAGGCTGGCAGAGCAAGTTGAATGAAACATGGTAAAAAAAAAAATGGAAGAGTTCAGTCAAAAGGTCTATTGGTATTGCCCTTTATCAAGTTAAGCTTTTAAGGTAAAAGGAGCTCGTCCACCTGGCCCTCTGATCTCATTAAGTTACAAAAGGGAAACAAACATCATCACACTTACTGATTCAGGGTCAGAATATGCATTTCCAAGAGCAATTCCTTTCAGGTGGATCTTGACCTGCTCCTTGGGGTTGAGGGCGTGGATGTAGTGCGCAAGCGCGGGTACGTACTTCCCTGCATAAGACTGAGGGGGACAGATATTGAAGGGAACAGTCACAAATCGGAGCTAGTACAGGTACACAAGCTTATGCTGATGAAATAACAATGAAGCTTCAATTAATTCTGTAGAAGGTTTACCTTGGATTTCTTAACCTCACATTGAAACCCCCAATAGAAAGGAGTGTATTTGCATGCACATATTTTCTTTCCTTTCTTCCTTCCTTCCTTCCTGCTTCCTTCCTTCCTTCCTTCCTTCCTTCCTTCCTTCCTTCCTTCCTTCCTTC